TATTGACATCTCACTTGCACACTCGCTTAACGAACTTGACGGACAACATTTCATCAAGCTCGGACATAGCGAATGTAGATATGTATGTATGTATAGCACATACACAAGCCAGCTATGATGCTGACAGCATGCACCTCGTACCGAGGGGTGCCTACTTGGGGACTGCGTGTGAGTATGTGTGTGTTCGTGTGTGTGTGTGTGTGGAGCCAACACGGTGGCGGTGCACATTAATTGAATTTTGATGCACTTTCCATAGGCCCTCCCGCCGTGTTTGTACACTTGAAGCTCATATACGTTGGCCGGCTGGCTGGCTGCCTGGCTGTTAGACTGGCAAGTAAGGTGAATCAAATGCAGTGTGCGAGAGTGATGGACTGCTGTCGCTCGAGCTAACAAGGCTAATGGTTAAAAGAAAGAGATGACAGCATGCAAAGCGCTCTCTCTCATTGCAACAAAAAGTTGCAGGTTTTTTTTTGTATTTATTTTAAACTGGTCGTCTCTGCTTCTCAGCAGCGGAACGTTTTTTATGTGGTTGTTTATGTTATTTGCAAAAAGTTTTGTTTATGATTTCTCTTGCGCTGAGTTACTCTCAGCTGTTATTTTAAGCGAAATACTCTTAAATATATATACTCTTATTTCGACTCTTATTTAAGAGCATTGATTTCAAAGAGCGTGTTTCTGCACATTGAGAACAGCGCCTTAGGTAAGAGCGAAATTTTTTAAGAGAACTTTGACTTTTTGAGAGCAATTAATAAGAGAAAGCTTATAAAGAGAAAGGCAGGACCGAGAAATAAATGTAAGAGCACAATGGCATAATTTATTTTATTTTAACGATTTCCCCAACTTTTGAATAAAAAAAAAGTTTTGACCGTTGCCAATTAGTATTGGTATTGCTTTGCGACCTTGCCTTTGATTGTGTGCGTGTGGGTGTATGGCGCTCAACTACATCCGATCACAAATCAATTTTTAAATATTTATCTCTCTACCCAAGGCTTTGCTTGATAAGCTTCTTTTCCCACGAGCAATGCTTTCAGAGACACGCACATACATGCATATGCATACGTACATGCATACATACATACATTTGCACACAGATAAATTTATAGGTATCGAAGTTTGGACTAGCCATCAAAGGAAACCTATTTATCGCTCTATATTTCCCCCATCTATACTTTTTTCTTTAGTTGTATCATTCTTTAAAAACTTACACATATGAAATTTTAAGGCAACAAAACTGTAGAAATCACACCATCTACACTATGGACAAGAAGTTAGCGCTTCAGAAACTGCTTCTACCGTCGGTAATTGCAAACCATAGTTTTATTGATGAACAACTGCCTTTTTCGAAATGCAAGAAAAATGGGTTTTCTGAAGAAAAAATATTGATAACCCAGATTTAAAGTGAGAGAAGGAAGTTTGAGGTTTAGTGAGACGCGATTAGGACGAAATCCCAGCATAATAAAATAATGAGTTGTAGAAAACGTGTAACTGGAGGGGAAAATTGCAAAGTTCAGTTTTTCAAATATTACAGGATAGAAAATACAAACCTTTCTAGCTCATTTTCTTCAAGGACATGTTTCACAAAAAAATTGTATAGAATTTTTCGCGTTTTCCAAGCTAAAACACAACTACAAACAAATCAAATACCACAATGTTGATTTTCTGTAACTATTTTTAACTTACAGTGACTCAAACAAATGGTCACGTGTTGGTTTTTTTTTTTTAATATTCGTAATATTTTTCCAACTTATATTTTTTTTTGTTATTTTGCTATAAAAATACCGTCTAAGCTTTAACCAAAAACATATAAATCACAGTTTCAAACTTTATACAAATACAAAATTTAGGAAAAATTCAAAAAATTAAAATAAAAAAATTTAAAATTTTTAATCTGCATCTTTAGAACATTTTTGGGTATTTATATACTTTTATAGCCCGTACAATTTTAGTCTAATGAAGTCCTAAAAAAAACCCCTAAAACATCGCGTTAATTTTTGAGAATTTTTTTTTCGGAGACTGCTTTTGTGGCTTTTTTTATATAAGGGCAAATCTAAAAAACAGGTAACCTTGGTGTTTTTTAGCTTTATTTTCACTGTTGGAAACTATATCAAGCTGGTTGCTTTTGGATATAATTCATTGACGTATACTTGAAGCCTCAAAAAAAAATTTGGATCAATTTGCCGCATAACTTTTGAATTATAGGTGTTTAAATAAAAAATAATAATGAAAACAAGTGAATTTTTTATGTAATTTTTAAGAGGTGAAAAATTAATTATGCCATAACTTTTGAAGCACACCATATACTGATTTGAAATTGTATGTGCAATTAGTACTTATGTGTACACTTCAAATGTAGTAGGTAAGAAAAGTGTGCATTAAAAAATAACGAAATGGCAAGCAACTCAAAGTCTGTAATTCCACATTTCACAATTTTCAAAATTTTCGGTTTATCGCGTATAGTTTTTGAAGCATTTAAGTTTAAGAACTTTTTAAGTATGTATTGTATACTACAAACAATTACGAATAATTTCATACCTGAGCAAGAGCTGTGCTTTCAGAATAAACCAACTTTTAAAGATAAAATATTCTGCGATCTTGAGCGTAATTTTTATTCCAAAAACACTTTAATTAAAGCCACATTTGGAAAACACGTCGAAACGATCTAAATCTTTCTATAACTGCTAGTCCTTATAAAATTACATATACCTGTAAAATGCTTCAAAAAATTTATCTCTAGAAGTGTGTAAAAACCCTGATTTACTACTCTTAATGATGCTACTTCTTTTAGTCAGAATATTTCGAGAGTGGTATCAAAGCAACTTTTTTTCAACAAATGTTCTGATAGTTGCTCTTACTTAATTGGAGCCTTCTGAATTCAATTCTGGCGTCCTAAGTTTTACCCTATTGGCTCCACTTTTCGTGATAGCGGTACTTGAAACTTTCCTTAAATTTTAAATATTTTATAAAAAAAGTCCCTGGGTTTTGAAGATATTTTACTAGAATTTTGCACATAACCGTTTTTTAATATTACCTTAACTATTCCATAAAATCATCGAAATCGGTTCACTAAAACATATAGCTCCCATACAACTGATTGATCTGAGACGTTGTTTTGCGTTATAACTCCTTCAATTAAACTGGTTAAAATTTAGTATAGGTTCAATTAAACATATAGCACGCATACAATTTATTATTCAGATATGAAGTTATAGTTATTGCGCAAAAACACATATCTGAGTAATCAGTTGTATTGGAGCTATATGTTAATGTTAACCTATTTCGATAATTTTAAGGAATAATTAAGGTAATATTAAAAAACTGTTATGTGCAAAATTTTAGTAAAATAACTTCAAAATTTAGGGAGTTATTTATAAAATAGTTAAAATTTAATCAAATGTTCAAGTACCGTTATCTCGAAAACCGGAGCCAATCTGGTAAAACAGGGCATGCCATTGAATTTAGAACATCCCAATTAAGTGAGTTCAACTTTCAAAATCTTTCCTCAAGTTTACAACTTGAACAGCGTAATTTCAACCCAGCTTATTCTTTTGTTTTCTATTTCATGCTTATTCCTCGTCTAACTTTTGAAGCACTTGATGAATATGAATTACACTTATATTAATAGATTTATTAAGAGATTACGAATAAAATGATATATAAAACATACATAGGTGTGCTCACAAATTTAAAAATTAAAATTTTTTGTTTGAAAGTGTACCTATTTTTTAGATTTGCCCATAACAAATGAAATTTCCATAAAAATGGTATTGATTTTTTGAAATTTTATTGCCAACGGTCTCCCGCATTTGATTTCATAAGAAATTCATGCCTATGTATATGGAAAAAAGTGCAAAAACCACGAATACAAAAATTCTGAAAAATCAACGGGATTTTTTTAGCCATTTGAAACATGCATTTCATTAGACAAAAATTGTGTGGGCTATGAAACTGCATGCTCAAGAGTCAGATAAAAAAGTTGAGGTTTTGATGAAAATTTGTTGAATGTTTCTAATTTTTGTGATTTATATGGTTTTTGTTAAAGCTCGGACGGTATTTTTATTGAAAAAAATAATTTAGCTCTAAAAACATTACGGATATAAAAAAAAAAAACCACATGTGGTCTTTTGTTTGAGTCACTGTGGGAAATTTGCGCGTATGACCGAATAGAAAAATGAAATATATACATAGGTAGAAATCGAATCATTTTTAATCGTTTTTGCTTCTTGCATAAGAATTTATTTTTGGAACTGGGAATGTCGATTAAGTTTTAAGGCAAAAAAAAAAATACTCAAAAGAAAGTCTCCTGCAGTGGAATTGAAACGTGGCTAAAAATTTGTATATCTTTCTTTAAATATCGGCGCCTAAAGTACAAAACCCCGTATCAAGCTAATGTAAAACAGCGTATGAGAGGTTGCATAAATTATTTTGTAGAGATTAAAAACACCCATATTTCAAAATGGTTGTCTCTTTTATAAAGCAATCGCATTTAAATGGACAAATTTTAAAATTCTAGATGTTTTGATAACCACACCGACATACTTTGAAAATTCCAAAAATTTGATCATTTAAAGAACTCGATATAATCACGAGGCCTCCGTAAATTTCATTAACTCGATAAACCTCGACAACTCTATAAATTTTGATGAACCGATAAATATTTGTTATTAACCGACTTCCAAAAAAGGAGGAGGTTATCAGTTCGTCGGAATATATTTTTTTTTTTTTTTTTTTTTATGTATGTTACCGCATAACTTTGGACCACGTCAACCGATTTCGATAATTCTTTTTGCATCGGAAAGGTAGTGTCTCAAAGGTACTACCATACTAATCTGGTTAAGATCCGATCAGTGGATCATGAGATATATATATATATATATATTTTTTTTATATGAGAGTTGAAGTCGGTTTTTTTTTGCAAAAAATTACTTGTTCAATAAATATCATATAATATATAAAAATCTCGATAAATATTTCGACAACTCAGTTTCTGCGTCTCGATAAATTTCGACAACTCAATAAACATTGATCAATTTCAATAATTCGATACATTGCTATAAATTAATAAATATGGATTGTTGTGACAGTTTTTTTTTTTGTTTTTTACGATTTCAATGGCTACACTTATGTTCTTCAGGGCACAAACTTAAAATGAAACCAGCAGACATGAAAACCGAAGGGCTGTACTAAACCTCGTTTTCTTGATTTGCTTTTGATATTTTATTCGTTTGAATTTGTAATGAGGCCTATTGGGATATTTGCTTTTAGAAAAACTTTCAAATAATTAACCGTAATTTTGTTTACTTGTCGGGCAATATTTTTTCAAACGGATCTATTTTGGATCGTGGACTATAAACTTACGCCTATGGCGTACTTAAGTCGAAGTTTGATATTTTTCAAAAAGGATTTCGAGCAGGAATCTTAAAAATTTAATTAAAAACAGAGTCAGTGCTCGCAGTATTCAAGATCTGTAAGTCTGATTCAATATTACTTGCCAATGTTCTGATGAAAAAGTCGATGGATTGCTAGTTTTTTTTTCGTTTTTCATCTGTAAAAATAACTTAAAAATATAAACAAACGAATGCAGAATCGATAGTCAAATGCCTTCGTCCGAGCTGAGTACCGAGATTCATTGAAGTCTATGTCCTTAAGTTTTAGAGCGAGCGCTCGGAAGATCCTTTGAAGGACTATGAAATTTATTTGGGGTTAGCACACTTTGCCGTATTCAGTTTTTTTATATTTTTAAGTTAATTATTTAACTAAAATTTAAAGGGCATCCAAAAAATTTAGCACATATCCCTACTCACTAAATAAGTTCTGGAAATATGAATGCCGTTTTAGTCTTTTTTTGAAAAAAACCTTTTTTGTGAACCTATGGTTTCTGATGCATAAACAGATATTTATGCTGGTGTTGGTTCATTTTCCATGGTTTTTATGCTATACAAATTACTCTGAGATAGGTGGATAAGTTAAAGTATTTTGTGATATTTTTTAACGGACTTCAAAAAAGGAGGAGTGTATCAATTCGTCAGAGGTGGTACCTCAGAGGTGGTCCTATACTAATTTGGTTTAGATTCGATCATTGGATCATGAAGAAATTAGCACTGCTCTAAAATATTTATACGAGAATTGAGTCGGTTTTATTTTTGCTTAAAAATTACTTGTTTTACGAAAATCTGATCAATTTCTCTTTAGGAACATTTAACTTGGTTTTTTCTAGGAACATAACGAGGAAAGCCTAGTACAAATAAGTCACGACGCACCGCGTCGAAAAATCGAAGGTCTTTAATAAAAACTGAACTAGGCTAATGTACAAGGAACTTTGCAAATAAGAAAAGGGTTTATTTCTTAAACAACATACTTATAAATTTACGAAATTTTCCAAAAAATAAAATTATATCTTTCTGAGCTTTCAATGCGCTTATAATTTTAACTTACCAATAGTTTAGGGCTTAGCAGTTAATTAGGAAACTATATACAACACATCGCTTATGCATTCTTCGATGACAATTGCTTGGCTAACTCGGTGTATTTGAGGAACTTTGATTGTGAGCTTTCGCTGTATGGATTAATGATTGGCGCAGCCATGTTGCCGCCCGCACCCAACGGACTCTTTGAGGCGCTCTTCGGCGATGTGGCTGCCGATTTCGGTGAGCACGCCAGCGTTGGTGATTTAATGGCATTCACTTCGCCTACGTCGTCCTTCATGTAATGCATCTTCGAGAAGTGATGACGATAAGCACCCTTTGAGCTGAAGACTGCATCACATTGCGAACACTTGATCATAGATTCGGCATTCGAATTCTGCACCGCATCATTGCAAGCCCAGCTGAAGGCCATCATGTTGCCAGTTAGCTGGGTGTTATGATTGATGCCATTGACGGCATTGCTGCGTGACTTTGTTGCCGGCTTCTCTGTAGTTTCGCAGAGTTTCTGAAGTGCAGCCAATGGATTGGCATTCGGCTTCTTATTTGTGTTGTTGTTGTTATTATTGTTGGTTTCGCCAACACCAATCAAAGTGTCTGCAGCGTGCGACTGTGCACTAACTGCATTCGAGCTCATATTGTTTAGATTGTCGAACATTGAAGAGAGTGCTGTGAGGCTACTACCAGCTGGCGCAAATCGCTTCTCAGCCAAGGATGATGTGGATTTGGGCGTAATTGAGCGTTCGTCGCTTGCGCTGGGGCTGGTAGCACGCGAGCCGGGCGTCTCCGCGTGTGGCTTATAGTGAAGCGAATCGCTTGATTGCTGTCGTTCATCTTCTTGGCTATCAATCATATTGAATTCCTTTTTCACGGAGATTTTCTGTGGTGACACAGCATCGGCGGCATCTTTACTGCCATTCATGGTTAGCTCTTGCGGTTCGTTAGACGTTTCCGAAGGCTCTGTTTTTATATTCATATTGATGAGCTCAGCGTGCACGTCAGCGTTTGTTATTGTTTCTGTTGTGTTGAACTTTTCTGGCGTTAGACGTGGTGTGGACTGTCGTACGCGTTCCTGCACACTACGTTCGGGTGTAAACGATTCAATGCGACTATTGCAGCGTTCGGAAATCGAACTGGACTCGCTAGCGCTGCGGTCACGCGCCGAGAAGCTCGAGTATGAGCGCATAAAGTGCATGGTTTGTGGATCTATGAGCGGTTTGGTATAGTCCACGCAATCATCAATGCCTAGACGCTTCAATATACTCGAGCCTAGTGGTGTGCTGCGTTGACTGCCATTACCGTTCGATGAGTAGGAGCTGCTGTTGCGCATGCGTGTATCGAAACTCTTCTCGATCAGCTGTTCGATGGCATTGAGTACTGATGGTGTAGAATTACTCGCCTTTTCGCCTTCCTTGGGTAGCGGGCAAATTATTTCCGGGCGTGTTGATGCGTGTGACACATTGCTGTCGGCTGTTTTGCGGCCATCACTATGACTAGTCGGGGTCTGTGGACTGGTGAGCTGTTCCAAGCAGCTCATCGGATTGAATGTCGGCTTCAAGACGTCGTTGTTGCGATTGCGTGCGGGCACCATCAACATTCCGCCCAGACACTGCCTGATGTGATCGACAAATAGCGCTGTCTCGATTTTCTCGCCACATTTTTCGCATGTGATCTTAGTTGTGGCGGCAAAGTCACGTAACGGCTTCAAAGCCGGATCCAAACTATTATTTTTGTAATCTTGTTGCGCGCGTTCCAACTCCAGTAGCTTACGCACTGGTAACGACTTTTTACGTTTTTCACGCATTTGTCGTCCACGCCGTGCGGACGGCGTTGCTGACGCGCTCGTCGTATGCTCTCCACCACAACCACCACCGCCACCGCCGCTGCCGCCGATTGCACGCATCATGTGCTCCTTGTAGTGTGCATTCTTCATCATGTGATTGCTTAGTTCCTTGAGCGACGGAAAGGCCTGATCGCACACCTTACATGTTAGCACAGCGCTTACAGTAGCCGACGTTGTGTTGTTGGGGCTAGAAATAACAGCGCCCGCCGCTGGATGAACCATGCCGGCAGACGGTGGCGATGTCACGACAGGTGATGTTGATGATGCGCCATTCGAGTTGGAGCCGCTGCCGCTGTTCGAGTTTTTATCGTCCGTCGACTTCCATGAAATGATCTGCTCCTGGGATATTATGTTCGTGTAGTGTTGTGTCTCCTGCATGTGCGATGTCATTTCGGCTAGCGAGCGAAAACTCTGGCCGCACCACATGCACTTCAGTATTTCGCGCGTTTGCTCTGCACCTTTGCCGAGCCAGACATCTTGGCCACGCACTAGCTTGCGTGGCAATGGCATCGTTTCTTTGATTAACAAATTGAGATCAGATTTATTGGACGTGGACGAAGTGGTCGCTGCAGCCGTTGTGGCGGATGTGGCGGCGAGCGATGTGTTGGTATTAGCGGAGTGACGTAAGTGATGTGTCGATTGAGTTGTCTGATTGCAGCCGCTGCCGCCGACGCCGCCACCGCTGCTATTACTTGGTGCACCACTAGCGCCCGTTGGAGGCATGCTAACACCACAGTGTTGCGTCTCCTTCATGTGTGCTGTTAATGAGGCCAGTGTGGGAAAACTTTGCTTACACCAAACACATTTGAAGACATCTCTCACAGCGTCTGCCCCCTTATTCAGCCAATGCGACTGCCATGCACTGTGCCGTCCACCACCACCACCACCGCCGCCGCCGCCGCCGGAGTTTCCCGCATTGTTGGCTGTCGCGCTTATTTGTCGATGCGGTGGTAGCTCGGCACTATCTGTAGCCGAGCCGAGTCTTGTCATTTCAGTCATTTTCTCTAGTGCTTTGGTAGCTTCATTTGGCAAAAGTTTGTGCTTTCCGCTCCACTCCAGTGGCGAGAGTGGCGATTTGGGTGATAAACTAGCTGCCGCCACTGCGGCTAGATATGGATTAATACTCGGCACCCAATTACTGGCAACAGGTGGCAGCGCTTTATAGTCGTGCGTGGTGCGTATTGTTTTTCGTATTGGCATGTGTTGTGCCTCCTCATCGGTAGCTTCACGTTTACGTCCGACCGACAAATCAAGCGGACTATTCACATCGACTGCTGCATCTGTGCCACTGCCCGATCCGCAGTTGTCATCGTCCTCCATCTTATCATCGGCCTCATCGTCGTCACTTTCATGCTCAGAATCCCGTCGGCGTTTCGTGCTAAAGTCCAGCACTGGTTCATCATTTGTGGCGTCTGTTTGTGGTGAGGGTGGCGTGCGATTTGTAGTTGGCGTATGCGTTCGTGTTGCTTGTTGTACCAAGGAGGCCGCGGCCGCTAGTGGATTGGTCAGCAGCAAGTGATTTTGTTGTGCTGCTGCTGCTGCAGCTGCATTGAAGTATGCAGCCATGGCAGCAGACTGTGGTGGCAACAAGGCAGCTGCAGCAGCCGGTGCTAGCGTGGCCGACAGCGGTAGTCCTGCAGGTGGTGTGCTGGAAAGCGAGGTGGCTGCTGGCGTCGTAGTTCGCTCATTGCCAGAGCAGTGTGAGCCATTCGAGGGGCATCTGCCCTCCATTGCTGCTGCAGAAACATTCGATTCTCGGGATTGACAGCGCGGGCTGGTCAACTCACTGCAATGGGAAAAATAGAATAATTTTATTAGACAAAGATTGCAATAATTTGAAGTGCTACATACAATATTTAAGTTTTCTTGAAAGGGAATATTTTTGAACAAAGTGAGGCGTTTATAAAATAGCTTATACAAACAGCAAGGACCCGGGTATATGCAGAAATATTGGCTCCCTGGACCGTACCCTATCCACAGTAAGCCTTGCAATCGACCTGCTGAGCTGACGCGATCAAGAGGTGCATCCAAACCAATTTTGAGACCGACGTCAGTGAACTCAAAGCTTTATTTGCCACTTGGCTATCTCTTATTGAAACTTTTATTAATGTGTCTACTGCTTCTTTAATTAATGAGTAGCAGCTGAAAAACGCTGAAGCAGCCTGGAAACTTAAATTTAATATTCATGAAGAGTTCATCGCAAGAAATTCTACTACCAGACCTACCACCAATTTTCGACCCATCTGCGAAAATTTTGATTGCTGCCCTTCTCCAGCATCGTCGTCCCACCAAATAATCCTTTGAGGGAACGGCTGTAGAGCAAAACTCTCAAGAGAGTGTCTAGATTCTGGGCCTCATACGGTTTCCTTGAGCCTGATTGCAAGCCGTGCTGTGGCTATTTTAACTGGCATGTAAATAGACATGATGTTGAGCGCCAGAGTGTGAGAAGTCAGTCCATTGTGCATATAGTAGCTGCCCCAGTAGTGTTACTCTACCTAACGAAATCTACCAGACGAGAGCTTCGCGCTAACTATGGTCTCACAAATCCACGGAACTTGAGTTGGATGAAAGGACCCATTTCTTAACAAAACTTCATCTACAGCAATATAAGGCCAGTAATGTCTTACCCAGCCCTTCCTCAATGCCACATTTCCATGACATTCTCTTATCTAGAAACTCCTCCAAACGAGTGAAGAGTTGATTTGGAGATCTTGAATATCCTAGTATCTAAGACCTGTATTACTTTACTAGGATTGACGATTAGATCGTTGTTAGCTAAACATTTAGTCATCAGGTTTAGATAACATTGAGTCAGATCATATATGGTGTACATAAATATATCAAGCAACTACCTAGAGAAGAGATGAGAGCACCCAACATTACTGTGAGCCTCTGTTTAAGAATACTAAATTGTAAGTAAAGGCTAAAGCTGGACACTTGAAAATGGGCTCGGGGATATTATTTGAATAGTACTGCGTGTTTCTCTGAAATAATGAGTCCTTTAAGTATCTTTATAGCTAACGATATTTCCCTGCTTAATGACCAACGCCCTCGCGATGCTCTCATGTCCCACTCTGACCGCATAAGCATTTATTGGAAAACTCCTTCTTAGTACGACGAAGCACGTAGAAATAAAACTTCCGTTTCATGAGCTTACAGGAAGCGAGCGACATGCCTAACCTCCTCCAAGCAGGTGAGAGTACTGCGATAGTATATTTTCTCATCTATCCGCACCTATGTCTACTATGTTATTAGGCTTAAACCTATCAGCGGGAAACCAAATAGAGATCTTTTGTTTCGGAATGCTTTCAGCCCGTAACTCACTGCTTGGTGTCTATATGTGATGGCTTTTTATGGAAAGTATACTATCATTCTTCAAAACCAACCACCGCCGCGTAAGACCGACTATTACATAAAAACGCTTACTTTCCATTTCCCTTTAAGCGTCATACCGCTGAAAATTTTGTATGATTGATTTCATTAGAGGGATTTTTTTTTTTTTTTTTTTATAGTATTTAACTCGGAACCCGCTGGTGCTAGCAGAGAATGAGGGAGGACCCCACTGCGATGGGAAGACCAAGTTTAGAAGGACTTGGCTTCCTTGGCAGAGAAAAGGAACGACTGGCGTGCTTTGTTGAACTCGGCTAAAATCGCCAAATGAGAAGATAAAGAACATCTGATCAGCAGTGGGATTTTAGAAATGACTATGCTAAATATCTTTAAAAAAATAGCAGAGGTGCATAATTTAAGGCCACACTGCCACTCATTTTGAGAATTTTGACCACGAAAAGTTTGCGTATCGATTAGCGCTTAAGCGTTAGACAAGGCTTCGACTGTCTGACTTGAAGTTGGCTTAAAATATATTCATCCAGGATTTAGTCAGATATGCTCTGGGCTCGTTTAACTTCTAAAAGGATCCAACAAGGCTGAGAAGCAGACTTGCGGAAGCATATGTTGCACAAATGTGGAGAGAGCGCACGTAATCTTCATTCCGATTATTCGCAAGCAAAGTCATTCAAGTCAGTTTAACCTCCTTTGTGTTGAAAGTAATTGAGACGATAAATCACAACAATATGAAATTCAGCATTCTGAAAATTACACCATGTATTAGCGTGCATAAAGGGCTGAAAGGTCTACGGATACAGCCCCGTATGAGCCGAAAACTGAACCACGTTACACTCTGGCGTTCGCAGGGCCCTAGAGAAGAGGAATTTGCAGCCTGTTATCTGAATCCTATTATGTAGAGCTTAGTCGTGGCTGAAGTCATTCAGCTTCTCTCTTAGAATAGCGTCCATTTACCAAGGTTGTGGATATGAGAGCACTCTCTGGTTGTGTGCCAAGTTAGGGCTTAACATTAAACCAGATACAACTGGAAACGAACGTGATCAGCGTCGCCAGAGAAATAAAGTATCTGAGGCTAATCGGAGACACAAAACTTCTGTCGAGGAAATATATGCATGCGACTACTTACAAGGCAACGAATGCTGTAACGGAGTATAGGCGTCTGGCAACAGAGTCTTGGAGATGCAGTACCAAGAACTAAATGGCTATAAACTTTGATAGGAGAACAAATAGTAAAATTTGGGACTCATGTAGAAAAAGTGAGCTTAAAGCTCCGACTTGAGTTTCAGTACAAATTCTCGAGCTTGAGCTCGCTTCTTTGGTGCGAAAATTGAGTTCGAGCTTAAGCTAACTTTTTATAAAGGAGACCCAATGGCTCCCAAAGCTACAACGACTGGCATATTTACGCAAAACAGGAAGCAATTGAGACCCTTCAAATAACCAAAGAACAGGTCGCCAAAATAATAACTTTACTAAGCTTTGATAGCGAGGGATTTGGGGAAAAAAAGGGTCATATCGTCTAGAAACATAGAGAAATTTTTCTGGCGGATTTTTTGAGATGCCACTCTGGATCTGGACGAATTGCCTCGCAAGAGAGGCAGCAGATATTACTCCAGGTGGCTCCAAGCCTTTCGTGGGAGTAGGAAGAGGAATGCATCAAGGGATCTAAACTGACATACATATATGTATAGCGCGCTAGGACTGCGCCCGGCAAAGACTTTACTATGTGGGTATAACAAGAAGAAATTCCGAAGCCTAATTAGCCGCGAAAAGGAGAAACACTGTAGACTAAGAGCGAATCTGTATACGCTGGAGATACATGTGATCAAGCGACTTTTGTGATATCGTCTGCGCCTGTAGAAAACGTCAGCTCACTGCAATTCTTCATAAAAACTCTGACTCTGGAATAATGATCGTAGAAGAGTCTTGCTAATATAAAAACTACGGCATTCGTGAACGCTTCATTACCCGTCTCGAATCGAATGAGATAAAATGACAACCGCATTGAGCAAATTTATATACATACATACGTAGTAGTGAAAAGTTTAATGTGTGATAGAATTTAAGGTAAATATTTCATTTAAATAATGAAAAACTTGTAAAATAAGACTCATTTTCATATATGCATGCAACTATAATATAATTATGTACATTAGGGAGTGTCCTAAAAAAAAAACGGTATTGTTTTTCCATCGGTATTAAAAAATCTTTTATATTTTGAGGCTTCCTAAAAAATGTTTGCAAAAAATATTTACCTCCAACAATCGAGTTTTTTTTATAGATAAAATTAGTTTTATAAATTTCCTTCGAAAAAAAGTCACTTCATATGATATGAGGCCGTGACAGCAGACGTTTCCTAACCCACAAATTTTTTTTTGTCTAAATAGTCTTAACACACACCACAATAACAGGCCAATTCTGGCATCTGTCTTTTAACTCACCTCAGTCTTTCGAGAGACAAAAGTCGATATATTTCGGCAACTATCTTGAAAGCCCTTTTCTGTATTTCGAATAACTAATTGAAAGATGCACTACTAGTGTTATTATATTTATCGTTTAGCAATAAGTTTACTAAAAACTGAACGAAATGAAAAAATATTCTTTTAAAACAGAAAAAATTAAAATTTTGAGAAACTTGAAAAGAAAAAAAAGATGAATCAAAAAAGTTTCCAAACGTTAAATTAAATAAATAATATGAATTTTTTAAGCAATAAAACTTAAAAAAAAAATTGTATTAAAAAAAATCGTTGCCGAGGATTGAACTTCGGATCTCTTGAAGTGCCCAGTGAGCATTGCCTCTGTTACAGCAACGTTATCGAAATTGAAATTTATTGAAAACAAACAAAAAATTTCAAAATCATTCGTTAAAAAGTTAAGTAAAGGTTTTTGTTTACTTAACTTTAATGTTCATTAAATACCCTTAATGAATCATTAACTGACTCTGAGAGGGATTTTTTTTTCCAAATCGTTACTGAGGGACACCTTAAGTAATCACTCAACGACTCTGAATGGGGCTGTTATTCCCAAATTTTAAGATACGAGGCTACCTAGCGTATCATGAAATTAAGAACTAAGCGACCTTTACTATAAAATTTGTTACATTTGAAACAATTTTAAGAAGTTAGCTACAAAAAAAAATAAAAATTGTGAGTTATGCCACTTCTGCGCTCATGGCCCCATATGAGAGTTTAAGCTTACATGGCCTGCATAAAGAATGTTAAAAAATTTTATCAACGAATGGCAAAATTATGAGATTTTTTAATCGGTTCCGAGCTTTTCCAAAATATTTTGGCGCAACTCTTAAAATATAATAAATTTTGTGGTTCCGCTAGAAAAACCGTAATACTTTTTTTTTTTTGGTGATGCACCCTAATGTACATAATATAGGTACATACTATCTATCTTAGCTTAAAATAAAAAAATTTGTAATCACCTTGCCGTGAGCGCCTGCCTGTAAATTTCCAGCATAACCGCCTCGTGCAACATCATTTCTCAGCTGCCTATTTGATTTTTAAGGCAAAAAAAAAAATCTAATCGAAATACTACCAGCAAACACTTGGCAATATAATATTCCACAGTCTTCAAACTCTACAAAAGACACAAACACACACGCAAAACATTTTCAATGCACGCGAATTTTCGGTGTGGCCTATATCTGCTTGCAGTTCAATTGATTTTCGAGGTGTTCACCTCAGCTGCAACATATGTATGTATGTATATGCGGAGGAGTGTTTCTTCGCTTTTCTTTGAATTCAACGCGACACGACACTCTTTTTTTATTTTTTTTTTAGATTTCTTCCTGTATTAGCACTTGCCACTTGGCACTAGGCACTTGTCGCATTCTTGTTTGACTGATTTATCAGTGTCCACGGAAACAGCGATTAATTTGTTTTTTCTTCGTTGATTGTTTTTGTTTTTGTTTTATTTTTTATTTTTATAACAAATACACGCGAAAAAAATATTTCTTTTAAAAATAAATACTGCTAATGCTTTTATGTTCACTTTTGGCTGGCTTCTAAGACATCCGCTGATTTAGTAGCTAATGTCAAATTTCTACACATTGTAGACGCTGCTGAAATTGTTGATGACGCTTTGGCATAGCCTATACGAGTACACGTATTGACGACGGTGCTACCAGCAGAGATGAATTGTATTTATGTATAGTACATGTGTATGTATGTTATTTAATATATGTATGTATGTGTCTTTTGAATTTGTACGAGAACGTGTCACTGGCGTGTTATGCCTCTATCAAAAACACACACGTCAAATAAATCAAATGTCAGGCGGCTGGCTAGTGGTATGCTATAATGACTGCTGACTCTGGTGTGGTACAGAGTGGGGTGTGCAGAGCGAAATGAGGCGCAAGAAACGCTGCTTGCTGCCTTGGTGAACAGTCAGCTCACTAGTAGTAGTAGTTGTTGTTATTGTTGCTCGCTGCTGACGAATGCTCGAATGGATAAGTGAATAAATGTGATGCGGCGCTGTATGTAGGTTGGGCAGACAGCAAACACACACATTCATTCATACATACAAAATACTAGTTATACCAATGTGTGTCCGGCCAGCTGAGTGTGGAAGAGGTCGTTTGGTTGGTTGGTTGGTTGGTTGGTCACACCGGCTGACGCTTTGTCACTTTGTGCTGCAGTTGTTGTTGTGCTTCGACTCACAGAGTGACAGTCATCAAAAAGTGTCAATCTCAAAGAAAACAGCCGTACTCATGCACGCTCGCACGCACGCACGCACGCACTCACGCTCACAGTAGACCCTCAAATGTGAATGAGAGAAATGTAAACAATTTCCTTACGCTTAAGTGGGCGACACACGACGCCACAGTAGTTGTGGGTGTGTTGGTTGGGTTTATGCTTAGCTGCTGCTATTCGATTCTTTAGATGCTTGTTTCTAGCTTTCTTATAGAATTGTTCACTATTTTTAATTTTTATTTAATACCTTCTCCTGTGTGGCTTCTTAATTTCGTGATTTACTTGCTATTTATTGTAATTTATAGCTGCTGTTGGTTTTTGTTTCATTTATTTATTTAGATAGATTTTGTGTTTCACATTCTATTGTTAATACATACGTATGCATTATTTTAATCTTCTGCATTCTAATATGTCTGTCTGCTTACTTTGGAGTTTTTCGTTTAAGTTATTTTGATTTGCGACTGTAATAATTTCAAAAAAAAATTGTATTAAGTGGTAAACTTTTTACGCTAACGTATTTAAAGTCATTGAATATGTTTTATAATGCGAATAAATATTTAAAAGATTTTATTTCAATATATGTATATGTATGTATGTAGAATCTACATTGTAGATACATATTTTCATATTTCCAGTCTTATTATTATTTTTTGCTCTTTGACATTACATATTTTTAATTTTGGGTTTATTTAATTAAATTTTATTATATTTTCTTAAATTTATGTAGTTGTATTTTATTTTGTCCTATTAAAATTTAATTTTTGATTTTATTTTATTTTATGTTTTTTTTTATTTCTCTATAAAATTGTTTATGCATTTTTAATTGATTCGATTTTTTTTACTTCATTTTATTTTATTTTGCTTTCTTTTATTTTCTTTTACTTTATTTTATTTTACTTCAATTTTGTTTTTTAATTTGTTTATTTTTTGATTTTTAACTCAACTTTATTTAATTTTTTCTTATTTATTTTACTCTATATTACTTTATACTACATATTTTATTTTCTCTTGTTTCATTTCATTTTAATTTAATTTAATTTAATATAATTTAATTTTATTGTATTTTATTGATTGTACTTTATTTTATTTTCTTTTACTCTAAAAAGAAACCAATCATATTTTTTTTAACGTTTTTTGTGTTATAATATTATTGTATTTTATTTTATTCTATTCCAATTAAATTTTTTTATTTTAGTTTACTCTATTTAAATAAAATTATTTTATTATTTAATTTATTTTATTCTGTTTTAATTTATCTCATTTTAATTGATTTTACTTCTGTTTTTTCCGCATTCATTTTTTTTATTAAATTTTGAAGTTTCAACATTACTTTTTTTTAATTTTACTTTTATTTTTTGTTGTTTTATTTTACTTAGTTACTTTTCATTAAATCTTTTTGTTTTAGTTTGTTTTACTTTAATCAAATTATAATTTTATTTATTTTTTTTTTATTTTTTTAATTTTGTAATTTTTTATTTATTAATTGTTTACCAATTGTTGTTTTTAAGGTAAATCTGTAAAGCGATAAATCTGCGACCATATTTGTTTGTTTTAGTTTATGTTTCTCGAATGATGCGTTCACAGCCAATTTCACGAAAGCAATTTAAGTGAAAAATGATTTAAAATTTTATAGGGAAATTGACAGAAAATAAAACAGATCGCTGGCAAAAGCCTCACACCTAGTATTTTTAAAGGTGGGGCAGAAGCACAAAAATTGGCAAGGCAGCAAGAGCAAAGAGTTTTCGGGTATGCTAATCACAGTTTTCGAGCTTTCTTCACTAAATAGAAGTAACCACTGAGCAATATCACAAGTCATATGCACTCCCGTCTTGTCAATGAAGCCAAACAACTAACTACATATATCGTCCGTGATTGAGGGCAACTTGAGTTTTGTCTATTTACCTACACTGCCTCGAAGCTTCTCAGTCATTGCTGAGCGAAATATGTATTCATCTAGCGGTTGCTTCGATGGCCCAAGGTTTGAGTGGACTAAGAAAAATTTTGTCTGAGCCTCATCTTATCCAGAGTATTGAGTAACTTGTCATCCAGCGTACAAGAAGTTTCTTATTTTTTTTTCAATACAATTTGGTCGAGACTTGCATTCCCGAACTAGTTCTGAGGTATTTAGAATGCCTCAAGTGCAACTTGGCTATCACTGCAGACATGTTGACTTATATTTACCTCTCCATCAATTTTCCAACACAGAGTCGATGAGCATTTTGATGGCAAATACTTTGGCTTGGCATAGCGTTGCGTATTCACCAAAAGAGAAGTTAAAGTGACTACTTTCGATTAGTTTCTAAATCTTGAACCTGTGTAATCTGTGGCTGTGCATCTAGGGCAATTCCAGCTGCTGCTGGCAAAGCTCTAGTTTGGCACACGGTGATCTCTCTTTGAAGTTTAATAAGCACATTTGCGACACCATTGATGGCATGTCTGTTCCACCATAACACAGATGCGTAGCAGAGCAAATCCACTGAGCTTGGGCGTCGTCATTGATGAAGTTTACAATCAGGTAAGCAATTACTATTTAAGCACAAAAGCCAGGGAGAACACACGCCACCCTGATTACAACTCCTGAACTTTGTACGGTTCAGACAAATTTCTTTTCTATAAATGTGAAATTGAAAAAAATTATTTAGACACTTCCTAATTTTATTTCGAAGGTATTGGAGGTATTGCTTTTTTTAAATTTCTGTTTCCTCTTCCTATTTGGCACATTAACCAATTGCCTATCTCCTTTGCGCAATATTTAATTTATTAACCAAAATTTTCAAAATTAATGTGAAATATCCTTTGTGTTCAAAACTTTCATTTTTTGAGTTTAAAGGCATGGTAAAGATCCTATTACAACTTCAAACTACGTCATGTAAATTTTTTTTGAGAAAATTTTTCACTAAAATTTTTCAGAAAATTTTTAATTTATTTTGTGATCCACTACAAGTTACTGGTACAAAAAAAAAAAAAACAGACGCTTAACGAGAGAAATTGTTATTATCTTTTTTTTTTTAAATTTGCTCCTTTATTAGCTTGAACTTTTTTTATTTATTTGAATGTTTTCATAACTTTAAAAATGATGAAAACACTGTAAGGTAAAACCATTGCAGACTGGACGTTTGCAAACACACACATTCTCAGTCCCATTTTCAATTTCAATCAACGATTTTCTACTATTTAATTTTTTATTTTAAATTTAGTAGATATGATTTTTAAATGCTTGCAAACGCCAGAAAAAGACATAGCATAGCATATTGAACAGGTGGTAGCAGTAGAACAGCTTATTTGATTGTTCTTTTTTTCAAATTATTTGGTCTCAAAAAATGTCGAATATCTGCTGTTAAGTTTTTCCACAAAAATTCATTAAAAAAAAACCCGATATAAAACCAGCTCTTGGAACGTTCACTTAACTCAGCAGCCCAAAAGCTGGTTTATGGGATCTTGCAAACAAATTTGCCATGAAAGAAAGTTGCACCCATTTTTTTTTTCAATTAAAATTTTTTAATGTTTTTCATATATTTCACAATGGCCTGTTACGGTATTTAATATTTAATATTTTGACACTTTAGCGACCAGACGCACAAACAAAATACACCTTTTCTTGCGCTAATTCTGCTAACTGTTTTTAATGCCTTGGTTTTGCCTTATAATGTTTTTTTTTTATGATTTTAAAGGTTTAAACGTGATTTTAACTCAGTTGAGTTTTATTTTTAATTTGTTTGGGTTATTTTTAACAATTATCGCCACCGAAAGGTGTAAAGGTGCTAACTGTACTTTTTTCAAAATTTAATTTTTGATGTGTGGCAGAGAATGCAAAACTAAATCGATTTTTCGTCTCCCATAAGCAATTTCAAAAAAAAGCTGTTTTAAATTTTTTCATATTTTGTTATTTTGTTTTGCTTTTATTTCATACATGCGTATTTCTGCTCCAAGAGTTGTGTTGGATTTTGCAATTTTTTTTTAATTTGTGAAAAATTTTGCAATTTTTTCGAGTTAAAGCCATTTTTTATCTGATTTTTGCTTACTTTTCTTTAGTCAGGTATTATTTTCTTTTATTTTCATTGGTATTTAGCAAATGTTGCGCTGTAAGTGTGTTTTTTCTTGGTTTTTCTTGTTGTCGTTGTCGGTTTTTTTGTACAAAAATCGTGTAAAATGTCTGTGCTCAAAGTATTTTTTTCTACATAATTTAGAATTCATATTTGTATTATTAATTTAAATTTAATTGTTTTGACTTTTACTTTACTTTGCCTGCACGCACTTTTCCAGCGCCTAAGCACAAATTTACCGCTGCAGCTCAACCCACTTTGTTCAGTTTTTGTATTCCTAATTTTGTTTTGTTGTGTTTGGTGACTCACACACGTGGTTTTTGCGCTTCAATAATGTCTTCACTGTATTTATTTTATCGAACTTTTGTTAAATTTTTTTTTTTATTAAAATTTTTTAAATTATTTTTGTCCAACAGTTTTTTTTTTGGTTTACGAGTCCTTGTACTTGGCCTAAAAATGCTTAAACTAATATAAATGTAAGTTCTCTTTAGCTTCATTGAACCTTTTTGCACTTCACCCACCTTATCACTTCACATTTTCTTCTTATTACAATACCAAACAATTTTAACGAAATTCGAACATTTTCCAGTTTTTCATTGAGCTGCACTTGATTGGCACCACAACATGCAGATGTATAACAATTCGACGACGTCAGCGTTGACAATGTCTTAAGCATTGACGCCACAGCGTATTGCAAATGTCCTTGTCGCCCCACTAATGATAACACACTGCCAACGACAGCGACGGCGACAACGACGACGACACTCCCGCCAACACCAAAGCCAGCCAGCACACCACCAAGTCAGGCGCATACAGCACCAAACAGCGCCAATACAAAAAAAAAAAAACAACAAAGAAAAAACAACTTACACACACACACGCACTGATAAGTTTGTCGGCAGGCAGCTAACACGTTTTCAATTTGCTGTTGTTGTTATTATTGCTTATGTTTTTGCAATTGCTGCAGTTGGCCATGTTGTTGCTGTTGTTAACGTTACTGCAATGCTACAACTTTGTATGCTCATGCTGCTGCTGCTGCTGCTGCTGGTACTCCCACTGTTGTAGTTGTTGTTGTTGTTGTTGTTGCTATTCTTCTAGTTGCTGCTGCAAATGTTTGCTGTGCTTTTTTTGCTGTCAAATATTTACTGTCTGTTGTAAGTGACGTTGTTTGTGCTGGAGCTGCTCTTGTTGTTGGCGTTATTGCTGCTGCTTTTCTAGAAGTAATTGTATACGTTGCGAATAGAGGAGTAGTAGTAGTAGCAGTATTAGTTGTTGTAGTAGTAACCGTGAATGCAACACCAGCATTGAAATTATTCGACATGATTCCGTTGAAGCGTTCAGTTGTCGACTAAAACATCTTTTTGACACTGACAACGTTGAGAGCTGACAGCCCAATATACAATGAAAAGCAACTGAAGCAAAAGCAGTGGCAGCGGCAAGAGCAGCACCAGCAGCAGCAGCGGGAATAGTGGCGAGTAGTGTGATATTGACTCGTGTACAACGACAATGATGAACCACGACGACCACGACGACGTCAGGGACCAGAGACGGCACCAGCGTCGACGATTTGAACGATGTGCAAGACAATCAAAATGAAATGCTGCTGACTAACTGCGGCCAGTATAGCAGTGAGCTATGTAGCTGAAGCCGTCGTCGTCGTCGTCATGCCACTGAGACGCTCCGAAGAACGATGGTCGTAAAAATGATATATTAAGGGAGTACGCGCAGCCTGAGTCAGCAGCAAAAAGTGTGCGCACAGCATGCCATTTTGGACTCTCAGAGCACACTCATTACCCATACGCATGCAATTGCAAACCAACACCACTACATGCAAATATTAATTCAAGTAGAGAGTTGAATCAACAATCAACAAAATCCCCCAGCTACCGAACGACCGGCCTAATAAGAAAAGAGTGCCTTTGTAGGTAGCAACCAAGTGGCGAGTGCTGCCTGCTGCCCCCAACAGCAGTCTGCTGAAGTGCTGAAATGCTGCTCTCGCGTATTTGTTGAGCGCATGCAAGCATACTTCAAGGCGTTGCAGCCGCTTATTGCCATCTGCAGTCTGCAATGGCTGCTAGAATATGCATTGCTAATGCAAACAGTAATTACTCATGTTTGTGCGAATAAATGGGAGCAGAATTTAATGGAAAGCAATGGGAGCATTACCAGTTTTGTCGCATGCGCAACGTTGCTCACTCTCGCTCTTGCTCTCAATATCTCTTACTCGTTTTCCTGTACAAAAGCTGCTTTGTTTTGATTTGATTTATTGTTTGGGGTTTTGCTATTGTTGTTGTTTTGCACGCATGTAGCCTTCAGCGTGAAGCGAACGAGCAGCGATAAACACATGTTGTGTGCCCACACAAGGCATGTTTGTATGTTTGCTTTTATAAATATAGGTACTATTCGCCTGCAAGAGCAACAATGAGTTTGCAATTCTCACAGAAATTTGTAGCTAAGTGTGTTTGTTGCATAGAAACTCACATGCATTCAGGTATGTACATATGTATGTATGTGTGTATGCCTGAGCCTGTGTATATATGCATGTATGTGCGGATGTTATTTTGCTACAGTTCATTGTTATTCCCCATTTCTGCAGCGCATTTTTTGAGGGGCATTTAACAGCCGCTAATGCGCTCGACCTTCACTGCAAAGGAGCACATGCATATGCTGGGTATTGTTGTGGTGCAACATCACAACTGCCAAGGCGCCACTGTAATTGTTTCAAGCTCACACTGTAGAAATGCAACTACTGAGGTTTTCTTCCCATAATTTTCGTACGTACGTATGTAAATACATACATATGTATCTAGTAGATACATTCATACTAGGGATGTAAATTTTTTTGATTTTTGCGATCACGGGATTTACCGGATCTCGTTGATTTTTTAATTAGCATCGGAATTTAGATATTCATTACATATTTTTCAACAACTTACATAACTCGAAAAATTTGCATACATTTTGTTTGATTAGCTCCACTACCATATATATCTATGTATGTATAATAAAATTTTAACCGGCCGATGTCTTTACATTATTATTAGAGCAACAGAAGCCAAATCAACAATTTTTAGAATTTTTGTCTGCCTGTATGGTTGTACGCATCACTAGAAAACTAATAAATGGAATTGAATGCAGTTTTCACCGATATATTGCTAGATAGAGGTTTAACTTAAAATATAGAAAGAAAAAAATTAGAGAGTTGCCACCTCTTCGAAAATTGCGGTTTAAATAAATTGATAAAATAAAGTAAATATTGCAATATGGGTATCAAACTGAAGAGGTTGAAGATGGCTTACAGCCGAAAAATTTTTGTTGAGGGTTGCCACCTATTTGAAAATTCTATTTTAATTTAATTGACATGATAAATTCAATATTGCATTGTGGGTATCAAACTGAAGAGGTTTAGGAAAGTTTACTGCCGAAAATATTTTTTGGGAGTGTTCACACCTGTTTGAAAATTTTAGTTTAATTTAATTGATAAGATAAATTGAATATTGCAATACGGTTACCAAACTTAAGAGGTTTAGGAAAGTTTACTACGAAACAAATTTTGAAGAGGGTTGCCACTTGTTTGAACAATTTTATTAAATTAAATTTATTAAATAAATGATATATTACAGTACGGATATCAAGCTGGGTGTAAAATTAAAAAATAAATTCTGTACACATAATCAAACAGATTAAATTTTTTTGGTGCATAAGTACTGGTAAGTATTGAAAATGTTCTTTTAAGATTTTATCCTTGTAATTTCGCAATATTTGTTTTTGAAAAAATTATGTGTTAAGCACTGATATAAACTCGATAACATCCTCGAATTTCGGCCTTCTAACTTTATCAGCTAAAAAAATTACCTATTCGTCCCTGTGAATCCAAAAAATTTTAATTTTTTTAAATTCTAATGGAAAGCCGCTGTGGTGTAGTGGTAAGCAGTGCGCGCTTCCACTCCGCAGCACCTGGGTTCAAGCCCTGGTCAAAGCAACATCGCAAAAAAATTTAGAAAAAACGTTTTTTCTTAACAGCGGTCGTCCCTCGGCAGGCAATGGCAAACCTCCGAGTGTATTTCTGCCATGAAAAACAGCTTCTCATAAAAATACAATCGCCGTTCGGAGTCGGCGTAAAACTGTAGGTCCCTCCGCTTTGGTGACAACATCACGGCGCACGCCACAAGTCGGAGGAGAAGCTCGGCCAAACACTAACATATGTGTAAGCGCCAATCTATTATAAATGGAAAGTCATTTTTCATTTGGTACCCATATTTTTATTTTACATTGAATAGAATTTTTTAAACAAGAGAGAAAAAGTAAAAACGCCACTTACAAAAAATAGGTTTCAAACCCATTTATTTATTATTTATTTTATGGTAGGAGAGATAGAAGCAATTTTTTCGATTTAAGTTAATGAAAAGTAATGAATATCTAAATCCCGGACTAATACCGCGATCTCGGGATTATGTGAACGATATCCCGAAAATCCCGAAAATCGTGAAAAGTGAATAAATTAACATCCCTAGTACTTATTTGGGTAGGGCAAACTGCGCCAAGCAAATCAAAATACAAATGAAAACTAACAAATTTCACAAAGCTGGGAGGGTATGTTCCAACCACAGCCAAGTCAGTATGCTCATCTGGGTGAATTTCCTAATCTTGTCTTTAACTTATTTTGCCACTACTTCCAATTTCGATGGAAACCGCAACGCCGTGCAATGCTCTATTCCATTATTCGTTTAGCCACTGAGTGTCATTGGGCGTGCAACAGTGAATCTACAAGCGTCCGCCAATATTCGTACCATTACTGAAAGCCACCGACCGATCCACCAATATAACAATATCGGCAGCAGTCTCTAGCGAATTAACAGAATGCCTTCCTCAAAGTTCGCTGCTGCACTTAACGTCATTAACACTTAGCCTTAACCGCAACCGCCCCTGAAAGAGAACAGTCCTAGTAGCGTGTGACCTACCAAAGGCATTTGACACAATCTGCCATTACCCAATACTAGAAGATATAGGGATCTCCTCTCGTCCACAGGTGCTCAAACGGGTGCAGGCGAATTATATGAGTGACCGACACTCGTCAGTTATTTTCCGAGATAAAACATCAACATCCAGGACAATTAAACAAGGATTTCCACAGGCTGGTGTCCTCTCTCTGCTGCTATTTAATTTACATATTCGCCCAACCACCAAAGGGCACCTCTTACGCTGACAATTGCTCGATAATGGCGTCTGGAAATGGAATTGATGACCTGCGCTCAAAACGCACAAAACTAAACATTTATCTCTCCAAACTTTCTCTATACTTCACCATTTTACCTTCTGGGCGAAAGAGGTACGGCTACAATTGCATATTCACATCGACGGCAAATCAATTCCGAAGACGAACCATCCCAAAAATCCTTAGAGTAAACTTCGACAGCCTTCACTCTTTTTCGGCGTAAACAACCGCAAATCGCTCTCCGGCAGCAATTGGAGTAAAGACAGGGAAACGCTGTTAGCAACGTATAAGAACATTGCCCGAACGGTTCTAAGCTATGCCCGTGTGACGCAGTGAACGTAGCTACAGACATGCCATATGACAGCACCACAGATAGCCACGGTATGCCTTCTGATGTCAACTGAACCTCACATTTAGAAGTGAGGTCCCAATGCTACTACCAAGCAAGCACAATTTCATGATAAGTAAGCAGTTCCTAGTAGGGTGCTATTGAAGTGAGTACGAACTCGATCCATATACAATCGGCAGTACTGAACTCGACGGCATACTAAGGTTCCCACGAAAGTCAGGTCTAACGTAATCTATATATGGCCAAGGACTGTCACACCAGCTGATTCTTGTTTTTACAACAACAATAACAACGGCATTACGAAAAGCTATAAACGGCATTCACAAAGATTCCGCCGCCACCTTCAGAGACTCTCGTCCTATGAATGGTGTTATAGGAGCCCAA